CAGTAAAGGCCATGTGAAGGCGACAAATATGACATTTACTGGATAATCCTTATATGTGAACTTTGTTCACTTTTCATGTGAATTATGAGCACTCATGAGGCAAGAATGCCCTGGACGAAAGCCGTGTTGGGCACTGCATAATATTTTGTTTATTTCCAACTATCCCATTAAATTTTTCTTGACAATACGCTCCATTATTTTACGCGCGATACAAGTGAAACTGACACGACCGTAATTTTCGCGGTCAATGCGTCAATCTCCCTTATAGGTCGGGAGCTGTGTTATGGCCCAGTTTATTCTGACCAGACGAATAAGCAGAAGAAGGTAAGAGAGCGGTTCTGATATGCAAATTCCTGTATTCAACAGTACACAAAGGCTATGTGGCGTGCGAGGTCTGCTGAGTCGTCGTAGTCGTCAGTGTCTGCCGGTTCCTTTAGCTTGTCCACTCCGGCATATTTATATGGCTGCGGTATTTCCAGAATATTCCTAGCGTATAGGCTGCACATAGACATTCTAGAATGATCTCGACTACGACCACTGCCCCCGCTATGTGGGTGGTCGTCTGTTGTTCTCGGCTCACGGCGTACGCGCGGGCGTGGGCGTCTGATATGGGGGCGTGACGTACTCCGGGCGGCCTGATCGTGGACAGGAATAAGCTGGTCTGTCCTTTTAATAATAATAATATGTTTATTATGCCAGTTTACAGGCAATTGTAAAGAGTTATAGTGCACCTCTTGGGCGCCTTCCAAAACCTCGAAGACCGGAAAAAACCTAAACGCACCTCTTGGGCGCCTTCCAAAACCTCGAAGACCGGAAAAAACCTAAAACAAACTCTTTGGGCGCCTTCCAAAACCTCGAAGACAGGAAAAAACCTAAAACAAACTCCCCTCTCGGCGCCTTCCAAAACCTCGAAGACAGGAAAAAACCTAAAACAAACTCCCTCTTTTGCAGTCAGTGTTGGTTTTGTTCCAGGTTTTGTGCTTTGTCAATACTGGGCGAGATAGGGAGTTTGTTTCAAGTG